ACTTCGAACGCGTGCGAATACTGGGCCGGTCAGACGACCGAACTTCACGCCTACTGCAGGAAGCATGGCACTCGCACGCGGGCTCAATTAACAGACAGATCGAGCTTCCTGATGCCTACTTCGCGTTGCGCGAGCAGATCGAGGGCAGAGGTCAATCCCGGCAGAACCGAGTTAAATACACTGTCAATGGGCTCGCAGGAGAGTTCGAAACGTCGGAAAAATACACTCCTGGTCCCAGAGAACGTCTTACCTTCTTCTAAAGGACAGTTATCTACGGTGACTGCAAAAGCTGGCTAATTTTCATAAGTATGCGGTAGCATAGCAGCTGCAGCATAAAAGACCAGTTAGATCGCTCATTCTTCTACTTAACGACCAGAAGTCAGTCCAGTGTGTTTTTCGATTGCGACCCTCTCCCGTTCCTGAATCCATTAACTTTCTGCCCCAACGAAGTATCCTTTTTCCAGCACCTTGGTGTTTCTCTCTCATCTAACCTCTTCTTTACTCCTCATATTGAAGGTCTTTTTATTAAAATCCGTAAACTTTTATATTAGATCCGCCCTTTGCGTTCAAATCACACACCGCAAGCCTTAATCTTACGATTTATAGATGCCTACATTCTCCTCCTCATTCTTTACTGCTCTCCAGTTATTTTCACGCTTTACTAAAAAAAAGACCTGTTAATTTATAAACCTATCCTCCGAATGCTCTCTTCAGCTGTCGGTGTTGATATTATAATACAGCGACGCTTTAAAATGGTCAAGCAGTTTTCTGATCGCATCCTTTTTGAGGTCGCTCACCCTCTCCACTCTGAAATAATGGTTGCAAAGTCTTTCCGTACTGTGCGCCGAAGCTTCCGGCATATCGGCATATCAGCACTCTATACTCCCATTCCTAGCACGCTACCTCACGTGTGAATAAACGGAAATTGACCTGTCTCCTTAACCTGTCTCCATAACAGATGTTGATATCCTGTAAATCTTTAAGTTTGAGTATTCTAGAACCTTTTACCTTACCTTATCCCTTGCTCTCTGTGAATGGAGCCATTTTTTGTTGAACATTTTGGATATTTACCATCAAGATAAAGCATCTGTCTCTCTCTAATACGCGAGTGCTTATCATGTCAGTTGCCAGCACTCGTGGCAATAACATACACGGGTGTGAGGAGTAAAAATGTTTCGCCGCAATGATGTGTTTCTACTTTGATAGCAAAAATTGGTTGGCACCCTAGGCAACCGGTTAAACCGTTTTTGGTTCCGCTCACACAAATGTGAAGCCTTGAAAAGACTTGTCAGACGCCTCAAATTAATGTTATATTATCTTCTTCCCGCCCCCTTTAAATCCTCCAGCTTAACCTGTCCAGAGGGATTTTCGCCGGCCGAAACAGACATTTTTTCGGAACTGGAGGCAACCCTGAGTCGTCCGAAGACCTGCTATCGTATTTTTGTCGCCGGACGGAGGGCTCATGTGTACAACTGGGAAGCTGCTGAAAAACACTGCAGCAGCTTGGTGGAGTCTACAAACAGGTCATGGACAGGTCATCTGGCTAGCCTGCCTGAGCGCGTGACCGCACAGATGGTGCTGCGCACAATGCGGCCATGGGGCGTTGGCGTCAGCCCCG